AGAGGTGGGAGGATTGCTTAAAGCCAGGACTCTGAGAAACTGCTTGGGCCACGTAGTGGTATGCCATCTCTTTATAAGATATATATATATATACACACACATATATTTTAAAATTAGCTGGATGTAGTGGTGCACACCTGTAGTTCCAGCTACTCAGGAGACTGAGGTGGGAAGATTGCTTGATCCTATTGAGGAGGTCAAGGCTGCAGTGAACCTCATGCCACTGATTATGTATGATCATGCCACTGCACTCTGGCCTGGGTAACATTTAAAAAAAGAAAGTAGAAAAATATTTGTTTTTATAGTTTCCTGGAATGATCTAGTATATGCCAGATAGCCTAAGACCTAGTTCTAGCCCTGTTTAAACCCTCACTCATGTTGTAAACTAGTGGGAAAAAGATATTTAGGTATAAATTATAAAAGTTTATGCTGATTTGTCCTTGATTAAAAAATTGTTCAAGCAAGTTAGCTTCCGTGCTAATTGTAAAATATATATAAACTTTTTCCCCCAGTTCTATGAATGAAGTTGTACATACATCTCCTACAATAGGAAGTAATGTAGAAGAGATAGTGATTAATAATACACGTTTCCTAATGTGGGATATTGGTGGCCAAGAATCTCTTCGTTCTTCCTGGAACACTTACTATACTAACACAGAGGTAATGTTTCTTACAATATTTAATGCTTGGAAAACAGAATGCTTGGAAAACATCTAGATTTGAGCCCTTATAGTTAATCTTTTTGAAATATCACAGTATGTTAATATAGAGAGAGTTTAAGCAGAGTAAAATCTTTGATTTCCTATTCCAGGGTCATTGTTCAATATGTCCACTATCATTGAACCTCTATAGGGAGAATTGGTGGTTAATTATGTTTTGATTGTGTATTGATCCCAGAACTTGTCTTTAGTAGTTTTTTTTTGTTTGTTTTAAATGACTTCCATCTCATAGTTTATAATTTCATTTCTCTCTATTTATGTTTGACTGAGTTTAGCTCACCAAATGAGAGGGTTTTGGTGGTTTGAATCCTAGCCAGTTTTACTATTTTCTTTTACAAAACACAATTGCACATTAAATAATTGTTTTTCTTTTCGTTATAAGACATTTTAGACGTAATCATGTCTTTTAATTTACACATTATTTTCCAAAGGAAATTTCAGACCTTTGACATTTAAGTGCTTCATTGCATAGACCTGTGAATTAAAAGACTGACAATTGTTTTCGTAGTGTTCATTATAAGTTAATAAAGCTGGTTTATATGTATGGAAAGCTGACTTTTAAGTCATTAAGAAACCATTAAGTGTATCTAACAACCTGATTTCCCAACACTGCATTAGGCATTTAATCTTTTTTTTATAAGGGAAGTTATGTGTGATTATAAAGGTATATATGCTACTGTATACATAATGCTATAGGTTTCAAATTCATGCCAACACTCTGAAAATTAACAGCTTTATTAAAATACCTTGGAATAAAATGGGCCTTACAGTGATAAAGTCACCTATCAGTAAGCTGTCAAGTGAGAGGGGAGGTAAAGTCGCAGTTCTCTCATACATCTGCCTTTTGGTTGATGAAGTCTGAAGAATAGAAAAGATCCAGAAAATCGTTAAGAGTTTATTTAAAAATTAAGATCTAGGTCCAAAAAATAAATAGTGCATGTTACTAATAGGCGGTCAGAACCAACTTGGGCATCATAAATGCTATCATAAAGTGAGTAAGTTAAATCTCCATCTGTTCCTGCTGATCTGTTGCTTTTGGGTGCTCACGGAGTTGAGGAAGCAGTGCGAAGGAGCTCAGTCCTGCACAGCAGTCACAAGTCTTTCATTGCACCTTCTGATCCCAGTCTCATCAGTTCATGAAGGGGTTGTGCTTGCAGGTAGCAGGTGATACTTATGTAAGGAAGAGAGCTTGTTTTTAGATAGAGATTTATTCTTGCAGTTGGTTGATTTTTTTTTTTAATTGATTTCTTTAACTGTCACATTACTTTACTCCCATACCCATGCCCTTTTAGGATTTCAGATTGATATTAACAAATAATATCTACCTGAAAGTAATAAATTCAGGATCATATTGTATGTTTTTCTTACTGATTTGTAGTGCAAATAGATGGATATAGGCCCATTAGCATTCAAGATACTGAAAACAGACATGCGTTATATATATTAGTTGGAATGTTAGTATCATATATTCTCTTTTCTCTAAAAATCAGTAAATATATTAAAATCGATCAGACCTTTTGGCTTCACAATGTATAGGTAGCTCTGATTTTCCAACAATACCATAAGATTCCAATTTCTTGATATTAATAGCCTGTATATCAAATAAACACATTATAAATTTTACAGATACCAAATTATGTAATCACTAATAATTTTTTTGTAATTATTTTAGTTTGTAATAGTTGTTGTGGACAGTACAGACAGAGAGAGGATTTCTGTAACTAGAGAAGAGCTCTATAAAATGTTAGCGCATGAGGTAAGTAAGTAGTCTTTTTACATTAGATATGGGGAAGGGTATGTGAATCGCTATTTTGTTTTCTAGTTTCTCATGAGGGTGCTATCAATTTTAAATTTTTAAAAATAATTAGTTATTTGCTGGCCACGCCTGCTTGATTATTTTGACATCTCCCAATTTGGAATGTATCTGGAAGCAGCAGAAAGATTATGAAGTAAGTTGCAGAACTTTATTTCAGTTATCCTAGATACATTTGGTTTCACAATTTTCCTGGGCAAAAGTAAGTGCTATAAGTGGCTTTCATTTTGCATTTTGAATAGATTGATTATACAGAGGATTATCATTGGAAATGAGATTTTAAAGTACCTGTGTGCTTAGCAATTCTTGATTGTTACTCAGCAGACTAATATTTAAATGTAATTGCTGTTAGATTTCTTTAATACTGTCCCTTTGACTAAACAAAACTAGATGACTAGCCACATTTTCTTAGTCCTTGAAAAATACCGGCCGGGCACAGTGGCTCACTCCTGTAATCACAGCACTTTAGGAGACGGAGGTGGGAGGATCACTTGAACCCAGGAGTTCAAGACCAGCTGAGCAACATGGCAAGACCCCATCTCTATGAAACGTAAACAAAATTAGCCAGGTGTGGTGGCATGCACCTGTAGTCCCAGCTACTTGAGAGACTGAAGCAAGTGGATTGCTTGAGCCCAGGAGGTCAAGGCTACAGTGAGCTGTTCTTGCCAGTGCACTCCAGCCTAAATGACAGAGTGAGACCCTGTCTCAAAAAATAAAATTAAATTAAAAATAAATAAGTAGAAATAAAAATAGATTTAAAAATTAAGTTTTTTAAATAGAAAAATATTACGATAATGTAAGTTTAAAAAACAATAATATAGTCAACTTCATAACTATAATGTAGTGTTTATATTTAGTAAAATTGAGTATTTTTGGATCTTGCAGAAGCTACTTTCTCAACTCATTTATAGATAGGAATAGAAAAAATATTTAGATATGTAGAGTTTTTTTATTTCAGTGGAATGTTTTGCAAAGCTTAGGAAAACGAGTATCTTTGTAGTGAAGTTTTATGTTAATTTTATTATTGATTTGATGATCTGCTTTTGAGATTTGCTTTAAGAATTTTGTGTATTTCAGGCAACCTTTCAGGGCTTTAGGGAACCAAACCTAGTAAAGTAGTTTTGTAAGTTGAGGTTCCTCATTTCCTTATGACCACTAAGATGCACCTTTTCCTATTTTGGACTCTTAATTCCGGCAGCTGTGTTTAAACCTCGTGGAGGTTTATAGAAATACATCTTGCCATTCTGTGTTCATTTGCCAAATTCCATTTCTAGTTGGGATACAAGCAATAAGCCATAACAGAGGCAGAAGACAAAGGTTTTTTTTTTTTTTTTTCTTTTCAACTTCATATTTTGCAAAAATGCAGCATTTTTCAGTTTATTCCAAAGGGTGGTTTTATGAAGAGTTTGGAAAAAGGAAAATTGATATAAATGTTATTTGTCTCTGGGCTATATCTTTTACTTTGTTAACAGGTAGTCACCCTATCTGATTTTTACTCTAATTGGCCAATATGCAGCAGGATCAGTATATGAAGAGCCCAGTAGCAGGGTTCAAAGTCTTTGATTTTTACTAGCTGAGGGCATTAACTTACATAGGTCACTTAACCTTATCTGTTATGGGTGAGTACACTGGGGCCCAGAAAGGTTATGTGACTTGACTAGCTTTTTAAGATCTAGGTTTTGAACTTGAGTATTCTCATTCAGACTCTTTATTAGCAGAAGAAAAAAGAAGACATAAGTAGGGCCTAGTTGGAAAGTGAAAGGAGACTGAATGAGGAGATGACCAGAGAAGAAAGGAATTACAGATGAAGTTGGGAGTTTGAGCAAGCTACTCAGTAGGGTCAAGAAGAGCCAAACAGGCAGAGTTCTGGAGAGAGACAAATGGATCAAAGAGTGAGAATGTGTGAGTGAAAAATAAATGTAGACATGATGTTACTTGGATGTTTCATACATACTACATAAACCAACAAAATCTTATTGTCATTGCTGATAACGATTCTTTACATTATTGCAAAATACAAAGCTAAAAATTTTAAAATAATTTTCAAAGTTTTATCATAAATGAAGTGTTCAACTTTAAAACTCATTAATTTTAAAATGGTTCCAAACACCAAAGTCCGAAATTTTATTCAGAGTGACTCAACTTCTAGGAGTTACCTTCACAAATGAAGTGTTTTTGTTGTTGTTGTTGTTGTTGTTGTTGTTTTGTTACAGAGTGTCACTCTGTTGCCCAGGCCAGAGTGCAGTGGCACCGTATCGGCTCACTGCAACCTCCGTCTTCTGGGTTCAAGCAATTCTTCTGCCTCAGCCTCCCGAGTAGCTGAGATTACAGGCGCCCACCACCACACCCAGCTAATTTTTTAATATTTTTAGTAGAGACGAGGTTTCATCTTGTTGGCCAGGCTGGTCTCAAACTCCTGATCTCAAGTGATTTGCCCACCGCAGCCTCCCAAAGTGCTGGGATTACAGGCGTGAGCCACTGCGCCCAGCCCCCAAATGAAGTTTTAAGAAACAAATTGACAACTATGTATAGTATATAGAAGATGCTAAGTAAATATGTCTTGCAATTGCTGTTATTCATCTCCTTGATAAAACTAAAATATATCTTAGACTAAAAATTTGTAGCAGAAATGGTTTTAAAGTGTTTGAAATGGCTTATGTACAAAAGATCACCATTGTTCACCTTATACTTTGACCCCTTGTTAAGTCGAGTTGATGAACAGCCTTAATTTAATATATCTATTTTCTACTGTTCTAATGTATACATATTTGGTTTTGGGGTTATATAATAGAAAGCAAATGAAGATTTTCTTCTCTTTCTAAATATTTAAAAATTGATAAAATAACTTCTTAAAAGTCAAGAACTCTAAAGTTTGAAACTTTGAGATCTAGAAAAATTGATTTAAGGTATTTGGAGACCTTTTATTAAATGGCTTTGTTTTTTGTATTTTTCAATTTTCAGTTTAGGGGCTTCTACAAATAATTTCATCATTAAGAATGAATATAAATTACTTATAATAATATAAACTATGTGTCGTAACTTGTGCCAAGTATTTGTCAGAAGGTTGTTCTTTCAACATGTCAACGTTAGCAAACTTGACCTATATAAGACTTCAGCACACACTAGCAAGACATACTGAAACTGAGAAGATAGAAAGATAGGAATTAAATCCCATGGAAAGTCCATCTACTTATTGACTCAGCCACATAACAACTATTGATAATGGTTTCTTTTATTTGTGTTTTTTTGAGACAGAGTCTTACTCTGTCACCCAGGCTGGAGTGCAGCAACACTATCTTGGCTCACTGCAACCTCCACCTCCTGGGTTCAAGCGATTTTCATCACTCAGCCTCCCAAGTAGCTGAGAGTACAGGTGTACACCACTACACCTTGCTGATTTTTATGTTTTCAGTTGAAATGGGGTTTCGCCCTGTTGGCCAGGCTGGTTTCAAACTTCTGGCTTCAAGACATCCCCCACCTTGGCCTTCCAAAGTGCTGGGATTACCGGTGTGAGACACCACGCCCAGCTGATTAATGGTTTCATTTTCTGTTTAGGAGAAAAGAAAAAATATTTACTGTATATCCTTGATAATGACTATATGTATACAAGTTATACTTTATCTCAATTGTGAACATTGTAGCAGTATTCCTTTCTGACCATACTTATTCAGATAACTGTATAAACTGTGGTAGCATTACTAGCTGCCATCCTGCAGAGGGCACTGTAATTAAAGTCAGTCCTGATTTTTTTTTTTTTTTTTTTTAATATGGAGTCTAGCTCTGTCACCCAGGCTGGAGTGCAGTGGTGTGATCTCGGCTCACTGTAAGCTCCACCTCCTGGGTTGACGCTATTCTCCTGCCTCAGCCTCCCAAGTAGCTGGGACTACAGGTGCCTACCACCACGCCCGGCTAATTTTTTTTTGTTTTTTTAGTAGACACGGGGTTTCACTGTGTTACCCAGGATGGTCTCGATCTCCTGACCTTGTGATCCGCCCACCTCGGCCTCCCAAAGGGCTGAGATTACAGGCGTGAGCCAACGGGCCTGGCCTAGTCTTGATTGCTATATGAAATGTTTTATGTAACTCCTTTAACCAAATGAAAAATACAAATATACTACTAATGTTTTTATTTGCATCAGAATCATCAAAACTATATTCTAACAAGAGTCATTTTGTATCTGCTGAAGATTTTATTGATTCAAACACATACACACATTATTAAAACCAAAATATCTCAGTAAAATCCCTAAGAAGACAGATGCCATTCAACAGTTGTGAAAACTTGCAAGTGTGGCACCAAAACCTTAATTTTATATCTCTTAATATATAACAGAATTTTATGAGAATTTCATTTGCTAATTGAGTACATCCTTCATGGATTCTTGGCCCAGTATCCATGTAGGGAATTTAGGATATTTATTAACACCCTAAAATTTTACATAAACTTTAAAAATTTTTGTATATATGCATATGTGCGTTTTCAGGGGAAAGGTCTGTGATTTTAAACAGATTGTCAAGGAAGTCCCTGGCTTTAAAACTAGCAGGTAGAGAGGAGTGGGGCAGGAAAAGACTAAGAACCTGTGGCCTATTTTGTGAGTAAAACATTATACCTGTTATTTGGAATGTGCACAATTACATTTGGAAAAGGGTTTATGCAGTGGGTGTTTTGCTCAGATCAGATACTCAAAAGATAATGAGGAATAAATTCAGAAAGCCTAAAGAACTTGCCTCTGAGTCATAGCATTGAAGCGATAGAACTTCTTATTGGGGAAACTTGGTAAGTTTAATGCCACTCCAAGATGGCCATATTACATATTCAAATCTAAGAAATCTTCATGTACAGTGACAGAAATTAGGGTGAATAGGATTGGTTTAGGATAGAACTTCAACTGAGAATTAAGCCCTAAGCTTTAAGGCATATATTGTAATGGATTCATTTATTTCCTATGCAGCTAGAAGGTACTAGCTATATATGTTATTGGAAGATTTGCAATGTAGTCATTCATCATTTTCTGTGGAGCTTAATTCTCTTGTGGAATCATGATTGGGAAAGGCTGGTTTAGGAGGTTGGAGGGAAGGAAATATACACAAGAGAAATGATTTGAACAACATAGAGATGGCAGTGCCCAAAACTGTGTAGAGAGCAGTAGGATAGGTTGCTAATTACAGCAGAGGACTTATATGGGAGTGATGTAAGGTAAAACAGAAAAGTATAGGCAAGGTAGAATTTTGGAGAGCTCTCAAGTATTAGGCTAAAAGGTAGTTCTTTGCCATTTAAGCCTAATTTTGCATTTAGGGGGTGGGTAGTATGTATACTGGAAAACATGACTGTTAAATACAGCACTTAGGACCATAAAAAATGGTAGTCTAAGACTACAAGAAATATGTAAACACATACAAGTATAAAAAATGTGTTATCAGCCTATGCGCTATGAGATGCTTTTATGTCACATAGTTGAGAAATTCTTGTTTACTAAGATTGTGAAAAAGATTCTGTTAATTAAGTTGAAAAATATGTGGAAAATGTATTGGCCTTTACAGTTTTATTTGCTTTAATAGGACCTAAGAAAAGCTGGATTGCTGATTTTTGCTAATAAACAAGATGTTAAAGAATGCATGACTGTAGCAGAAATCTCCCAGTTTTTGAAGCTAACTTCTATTAAAGATCACCAGTGGCATATCCAGGCATGCTGTGCTCTAACTGGCGAGGGGTAAGAAGTCTTCCTCTTAGATATTATCGAACTTGTATTTTGCTTAGAAACATGTATATCTTCTTTAAACTCCTAAATATTTAAGGCTATTGTGTACAAAACATCGTAAGGGACAGACGTAAGCTGTAGTTCATGTCTATAATCAGAGACTTTTTAGGGTGGTTCTGTAAATAGTAAAACAACGTAAACATAATACACATAAACCTACTGAACATGTAAGCATGTAGCTGTTAAAATTGCTGTAGGAGCTCAGAGAAACGGGAGTATCAGTGAGAGCTGGAGAAGTTAGGAAATACATTTTACGATGATAGTGAAACTGAAGACCTGACACTTGCTGAGCATGTCCTGTGTCTGGAGTGCTTTCCATATAGTGCTTCATTTAATCCCCATAACAGTCCTACAGAGTAATTGTTTGTAAGTGATATTTTATGCATAAAGAAGCTCAAATCAAAGATAATTCATGTCTGAGACTACTTTGGGGTTACTGACTGTTGGAACTGATGCACTTAAACAAAAGAAGGATTGAGGGAATTGGAGACAGTGTAGCAGTGATGGTCCTTGGTTCTGGAATGATAGGTGTTGGAAGAGAAGTGTGTGCCTAGAGTAGAAATTTGCCCTGTCTAGTGCCCACAGTTGAAAGTATTTCAAGAAGGAAGTGGTGTGATCGGCATTGTCAAATCTAAGGTCAAGGACCAGGAGATGGAGGATGCCACTGAATTAACAACAAATGAACGTATTCAACCATTTTGTCAGAACAAATTCTGTGCATTGGGAAAGTGGGCATGAGGTAAGTGTAGTTTAAAGAGGAGGTAGATTTTAGGAAGCAAAAATAGCTTTGTAAACTCTTGAGTGTGGCAGATGAAATAGAGGAGGTTGGAAATAGGATAAAAAGCCAAAAGAAGGATAAAAATAAAGTACAATTTTTGTTGTTGTTTTTCCAAAATATGGTGGATCTGTATATACAGTCATGCACCCTATAATGATGTTTTGGTCAGTGATAGACCACATATATGACGGTGGTCCCATAAAATTAAAATACTGTATGTTTACAATAACCTGTTCTATTTTTAGATATGTTTCAGTACAAAAGTTCTTACTATTGGGTTATGGTCATCTACAGAATTTACTACAGTAACATGCTATGTAGGTGTGTAGCCTGGGAGCACCAGGCTGTATAGCACGGAGCCTAGGTGCATACTAGACTGTGCCATCTAGGTTTGTGTAAGTACACTCTGTGATGTTCACACAGTGATGAAATCACCTGACACATTTCTCAGACTGTATCCCTGTCATTAAATGATGCATGATTGCATTTAAAAGCAGAGGAAAAAAGAAATAAGCGATAAAGGATTCTAAATAGAGGTCTTAAGTTTGGGGTTCTTGAGGTTTTAGAAAAGGACAAAAGCGTGGGGTATAGACGAATTTGCTCAAGTGGGAGAAATTGTTTTGCTTTCAAGACCAAGATGAAGGGTAAACCAAATATAATGAATTATTGAAGCCAAATCTTAATAGGAGGCACTATTACTGACATTTAGAAGAGCATAATTAGAACCTTAAAAAAGGTTTTTTAATTTTAAAAAAAACCTGTTCGTTAAAAAAAATCACAGATAATACCAATTATCCATGTATTCATTTAAGTAAAAATGTGTTAAATATTTCTTTGTCAAATAGTTTAGTATATATATCTTTGTCAAGCAAAAGCATGGATTTATAATATTTGGCAATAAAGACAAGTCATCTAGGATTGACATAGATTTAATTTATATACTTTGATAATTGTATGGAAAATGTATCATTAGTATCAACTCAATTTCATTTTAAAAAGAGGTAAAACAATTTTGTTTTAAAAATAGGAAGGTAATAGATGAGTTTGGTTTTGAGAGAAATGTTCTGTTTTTCTTTTATAGTTCAGCTGCCTTGATCTAAATTATTGGTTTTAGTATGCATTAGCGTTTTGATTCAGTGGATTGGAGATCACAAACTTCGGTGTGTGACTTCATTTGACTCCCACTTTTCCCATTTGCTAACATTGCCAACCTGGATTTCCTCTGTAACATTGGAAGGATTCTAATCTCAGTGTTGTAAAGATTAATTAAGAGAATGGATGTTAAGTCAGTTTCTAGTTTGCTATTAGGTAACTACTGTTCATTTATCAGTTTGGAGTTAAACAGTCTCTTCATCTATTATTTTTATGTACTATTTCCTGTCAGTAGTTTAAAAGTAACGAATCTAGTCCCAGGAGAAAAGCATGGGACAACCACCCCAAAACAACCATGTATTTACCTCATTGCTATCTTTTTTCTATTTGTGTCTTCTTTTACATTATTAGACTCATACTTAACAAAAATCTGAATTGAAAAAAATTTATATTGTAACATAGTTTTTTGTGTCTACAAAAGCTTGTCATAGATAATAGTTAATACTTATTAACAGTTCTTCATTTTATTGTAACTTAGTGTGTACTACCATTTCTCTTTTGCTGAACTTTTAGTTTCTATTACCAGAATGAACATCCTTTTCTGTATTTTGGGTTATGTTCAATTACCAGTTGTTCAGTGATAACTGATGTTACCAATATGAAATTTTATTGCCTTCAAAAGTTTTATATACTTACATTTTATAATATTTATATAACATATTATGTGTATACTTTGTTTTAATAACTGCAAAATATGTATTTTGTTTAATATTCTGCCATTTGTCATTTATATCATGAGCATTTTATCCTATTATAAAATGGTTTTATTTCCTCCATTTCCTGGTGATGAGAATTATGAAATCATTTTTGAAAGGAAAATTTTAAATATTTCATCATACAAATGTCTTGTAATTTATTTGTTTTCTGTATTTCTAGACAAGTTATTTTTCTATTAAAAGTACTTTAATGAACAGTTTTGTATGTAAGTCTATGTTTATGTCTGATTTTCTTTTTTAGGATACATTTCTGGAAGTAGAAAAAGATTCAGAGTATTGATATTTTAAATATTTTTGATACATATCGCCAGATATATTTTTGACATATGTTGCTTTCTGTGGGCACTCATTGTATAATTATAAAGCTTTTTAAAAGTGTCAGACAGCATTCCAGGGACTAGAGATATAACGGAACCAAAAGAGCACAGATGTATTAGCTGGGCGTGGTGGCACACGCCTTTACTCCCCGCTACTGGGGGGCTGAGGTGGGGAGATCGCTTGAGCCCAGAGGTCATGGCTGCCATTGATTGTGCCATTGCACTCCAGCCTGGGTGACAGAGGGAGACCCTGTCTTAAAAAGAGGAAAGACAAAAAAAGCACAGATGGATTATGTATGAGAATATGGCTTCACTGCAGCAGCCCAAGCACTGAATATTATTGATTTTTAAATCTTTGTTATTTAGCTAAATGAAAAATACTGCCTTTTAGTTTGCTGTTCATAGCTTCTTAGTTCAGAATTTAATCAAATGATTTTGTTTTCTTTATAGGTTGTGCCAAGGACTTGAATGGATGATGTCACGACTTAAGATTAGATGATCTCTACTGACCTCTTCTCATAGACTTTGTATAAATGAAGTGCTGGACTTTACCTGAAAGCTGCAAAAATTAATGGTTTAGATATATTTATAATAAACTGATTTAAACTTTTTCTATAAGAAGAAAAATTAAGACCACTTATTTGAAAACAAAGATGAAGTCTCACCTTCCAATTTACTTTCTTATTAGTTTTTTCCAAAGTAAGTTATTAAAGCTGTGATTGACGTTTTTCTCATAATGAATCCTCTCAGGACATTGTGTAGCCTGTGGTAAGTACAAAGGGAGAGGAAGACATTTTGAATTTTAAGAGCTTTATTATCAGTATAACCCTCCCTAGTTGAATGTTGTTTTCTTCTTGTTCCATTAAGTCAAAATACAAATCAGCACAGATATTCAGTTTCCAATATTTTAAAATGTAATGTTACTTATGAAAAGTATTTTGCTTAAGGTTGTGTGTGTATTTTGTATATACCTCAAGTTCAAGTTAATGGCATTGATTTATGTTCCAGAGAAAAATAACACAAATATTAATAATATCCTTCGTTATAACCATAATGAGATAAGTATTGGCATTGGTGTTCAGTGCCATTTTATACTTTCTCTCTATGTTCTCTGTATTGTACTAACCAACCTCCCAAATCATTGAGCTGCTTATTTAAAAAAAAAAAGGAAAAGGAAAAAGCATGACATTGCGTATTGATTTTTTGTTGTTGACCAAAATCACAAACATGGAAACACATAATTCAGCAGAGTGGGATAGCTGTCAGATTCTTGGCTTAGTATTACTAATGGGCAGGATTGTACAATGAGCAACTATCAGATTATTCCTTTCAGTGGTTCTTATGGCATCTAAATTACTGAATAAATTATTAATCCATTAATCAGTGAATCAAATTATGATTAAAATTATCAAATGAATGCTCAGCATTCATTGAAAACTGTTGTGTGAAACATGTCTACCCAGAAAAATAATATTCTATAAATACTATTAAACAACTTAGCTATATTATTTTTAAGCATTAAATTATACGTCAAGGAGTTAAAGTGAATTTCAGAGTAAAAGTAAGGCATGTTTCTGAGCAACATTGATAATTTCTTAATTTGCCAATTTCTTCTTATTTTGGTACTTGGAATATAGTGTGAGATTTTTTATTTCTAAATTTTGTTCTATCTATTACATAAATGCATTGACAATTATAAACTGCAAGTGTTTTTTGAATGATTTTAAGAATTTGGTTTAAAAATTGATTGCTACCATGTATTATTTGTACTAAGAAGTAACTTGACCCAAAACACCCTCTCTGTTTGCTTAGGGTATTTTTTTCAATGTCTGAAAGTTAGAGGTATTCCTGTCACAATTGTAAACAAACTTATCCTAAATGTGTTAAAACATATTCTGGGGTACTCTATCTCTATGTATCTTTCATGCCTTGAAAATCTGAAGGTTAATCCAAACTCACTTGTTTTAGCATATTTAAGAAAAAAAAAACTACTTTTAATATCAGCCTTTTAAGTTTCATGAAGATTTTGGTGAGGAATAATAGTATATACTTTAAATATTGGCAAAACTTTGAAAGTTTTCTTTCTTTAAAATGGGAAATACTCAATATCTAAATCCAGGTCAGGCGTGGGAGATCAGTATCTAACATTGAATGTTTTGTGTTTTATATTTATAATGTTCAAAATGCAAGCATAACATTTAATCTTTGTCCACATGGTTTTACAAAAGTAAATCTTAAATTACTAAGCTTTTCTCATATGTTCTCATACTTTTTCAAATCACTATAAAGAATTACTTGTTATCTATTAAAAATCTCCTTCCCCCAAATCTGTATTACGGTTTCACCAGACAAATATTCTGTGATGTAGCCCAGAAAATCCGCACCTTTTGTCCTTTTTATTTTTTAATTTGAATAATCATGTGCTTAGTCCCTTGGATTACTGCCACATCAGTTTAACACAGTATCAGCACATTACCTTGTCGTCAAGATAATGGCTCAGATTTATTCTTAATTGAATGTTTAAAGCATGCACTACCTTGTTACAGTTGGTTTAGTGGATTATTGACTTGACATCATGAGAAGATGTATAATTTTATACCACATTTATAAAATATGATTTTGTTTTCTACCCTTCAAGGTAAACATTAAAAATAAGGTGGTATTTGTGTACTTGTACATAAAACCAAAATTATAGTTGGGAAAAAATAAATTTATATATGAAAATGTCAAAATCATTTTAACAGTATTATTTTCAGATAAGATGGAGAGGCTGGTGAAAAGTCATATTGGCAATTTGTATGTAGTTTAAGTGGAATTAAGCAAAGGGAGATGCTTTTGGGTTTTTAACATGCCACTTTTGAGTGAAAACATCTCGTGGAGTCATTGTGTTCAGCTCTGAGAAGAACGAAGATTCATACTTCTGTACATGTGGTTGGATTTAAATATCCTGTTTTTGATACTAATTTTGAAAGTTATTTAACTTCTTTTGATATCTGGGCAAAAGTAACCATATGCTATAAGCATTTGAATATGTTTAATTTTGTCATAATAGCATCTGTGAAAGTGTATCTTACACATTTTATAGAGGGTTCTTGTTTGAAATTTTCAGTTCTTTTTTATCTTCCCAGTACATCTTGGTCCTCATAATGGGCAAAGCATACAACGAAGGCAGGTGGCTTAGGGGTTATAGTGGGGAAGTGGATAGGGGATTCATTTTCTTATATGACATTTTGCCTTAAGAATATAAGTGTTTTAGCGCTGCTGACTGGCATTTTTAATATAGGTAGTGAAAATGACTTTAGAAGCATGGGATGAAATAGAGGGAAGAAGAGTTTTTATTTTCTGGCCTTAAAAAGTGCCTAGTAGGTCATTTGAGACCTAGAGAAGTGCACAGAGCTTGAGCAAAGGCATGAAGTCCCTGACTTTCTTTTCCTTTTTGTCTCCATATATAGTATTAAGATGCCTAGAAACATGACTCTATTGTCCCCTCTTGTATAGGCACTTTATGTTTCTTGCTGTCACTACAGCAACCACATACAGTACAGACAACCTCAAAACCTGTTTATATTAGTGTAAATAGAAAAACTATAGACAACTTTCTAGATTTCTCTGCAGGCATTTTTGGGAATGTATGTATAATAGGCTCTGCTTTTTATACAGGAGATAGTACCACATCATCGGTTATCTCCAAACTCCAGTCTTCTCTCAATTGCCCAGTTATATCTTGTCATCAATCCCTTTTTCAAGGCTGGGGAGAGACAAGTTTCTCCATGTAACTTTGACCCCTCCCACTCTCCAAATGTAATCTGGATCTCCTTGCTTTCAAGATCAGCTTCCCCATAGCTCAGGTATCCCCTTCGCTCCTGTGTCTTCATTTACTATCAGTGAAGATATCTCTGTCCTGGAGGTTACTTTAAACTTTCTCTATAACCATTGCTATAGACAATGGTTTCCAAACCAGTAGTTTCTATGCAGCTTTTCTAGTTCCTTGCTATCTTCTCACCACTGACTTGAGGCAGTGATTTGGACTTTGCTCATTAGAGAGCATTATCAGAGATGTGGAGTCCATCAGAAGACCAGCTTGCAGTGTGAATAGCATATAGATGCCAATATTATAATTCTTTATATTTAACATTTTCATGCTTCTTAATTTAACTTCACATGTTGGGAAGTAGATTCAGAAACTTAGGAGAAATACCCAGACTCTGCCACTTCCTTGAGCTACTAGTTAGGCATGGGTGGGATTAAGTTTTATGTGTATTATCTTCCCACTACCAAGAATGGTTATGTTTCACAGAATACCAGTTCAGTTTGAGTTGGAAAAAGATGCCAAACCAAGTTTATATATAGCCTATAACCTAAGGGCATTCTTGAAGCTATTGCCCACATCCCATTTTTTAGTTCATGTTTACTTACAAAATAGAGATAAACATTAGATGTCTAAAGGAGTTAGTAATGAAAAGCCTGTCCTTACAAAATAAACCTGTTTAAATGGGCTTTAAAAGACATCAAAATAATCACTTGTCATGCATTGACTGTAAATACAGATAAAGAAATACGTCTTTAAAGCTCCACTTATACAAAAATAAAACTTCTATATCATGTTCCCTCGAAGAATGTATGATAGTTTATTTTAAGACCATGATAATAGAGTAAAAAGGAAAGAAAGCCAGAAATTAGAATTTTGGATGCTAAAAAGTAACTTTCTAGTTAACCCTAAAGCCCTGTCAAATTGGGAAGAAATGTTCCAGGATACACTTGGATTAGTTATGCAGTATTTCTTATCAATTGTCTAGCCCTTGTGTATTGTTCTGAAAACTAAAGTTTAAATCTTTACGCTGTTACCTGCTAGACATCCCGTTCTTTGGTAAAAAATTCCCATAGTCTATACTCAAGAAGTGCCTAAAAATGGATTTGTGTTGATTTTAAGCCCATCTAATAAATTATATGTATTTTCTATGGTATCGTATGTGCTTGTCTTAACTGATGACATAGCCTAGAGGGTTTCTGTTACAATTTGTGCTTTATTTGAATAAAAAGTCTTTTTTTTCTTTTTCTTTTCTTTTTTTTTTTTTTTTTTTGAGACATTGTCTTGCTCTGTCGCCCATGCTGGACTGCAGTGGCGTGATCTCGGTTCACTGCAACCTTCACCTCCCCGGTTCACGCCATTCTCCTGCCTCAGCCTGCCAAGTAGCTGGGACTACAGGCGCCCGCGACCACGCCCAGCTAATTTTTTTGTATTTTTAGTAGAGACGAGGTTTCACCATGTTAGCCAGGATGGTCTCGATCTGCTGACCTCGTGATCCACCTGCCTCGGCCTCCCAAAGTGCTGGAATTACAGGCGTGAGCCACTGTGCCTGGCCTGAATAAAAAGTCTTGAAATTGAAGACACTCACCTAACCCTCAACAAACCATGACGTAATGAAGCACAAGCCACACCATTTTGTCTCTTTCCTAATACAAATAGTCATGTCCCTGGCATTAGTTCATGCCGAGACTAGAAAACTGAACCCTACTACTGTTTTTTAAAAAACAATTTTAACAGAATATTAAACTGTATGTTTGAAATCATAAGTAAAAGTTTGTTGCTTGCATACGAGTAGCCTCTTGATTCTCATAGTGGTGATTTTGCATCATATCATTTAGATGTTGAGCCGTTTGTGCATGTGCATAAGTGCCCAAATTCCTCCTCTTTGTTTAGATTCTACTTACAAATCAGACTAATAGAATCTGAATACATTTATCATATATTCTTCCAGGGTTTTTTTTTTTTAACTGACTGTAGAGTGTGGCTGTAAGTTCTGGGGCAAAGCTTGATTGTATTTTCAGTGATGTATAGTTACATTGTTTCATGTTAGAAATCATCGTGCATGGGAAGTAAAATGTGCATTTGATTTTAAATTATTGTAATATGTACTATACCCTTCCCCTAAACTTCTTTCATTGATGATACGCAGAATTCCTCTATTTTTGCTTGAAAATAGTCCTTTAGATTGGAGTAGCCTTTTCTTACATCCCTCTGTGGTTCCATGAGATGAGGTGATACCTGCAAAGCACTTTTAAAGATGTTTTTTAGGCTAATGTCCAGGATACAGCATTGAGGACGCAGCTATGTCTAATGAGGGCTCTGTTGGTTGCTAGAGATGAGAGAAATGTATACTAATCATTTTAATTTGTACTTAAAATACGTTTTACTAATCATATTGATTTTAAATATGACATTCTTCTTGTAGATATTAATCTTTCTTGTTTATCATATTGTCCTAGAGAAGCCTAGATAAAAATGGGTTCCACCTAGTCTCTTTGTATAACACCTTCCCCTGCTCGGCTCCCCATCCCTGCCAATTGAGCTCCATGCATATTGACAAGCAAATAAGAAAATCTTAGGTTTCTTGTATTTGAATTTCCAAAACAATAAAAGGTTTTGACTTAAGATTTGCATGCAAGAAGAGGCAGAAATTTTGTCTCATCTTTTTATCATTTTGCGAACTTGTGTTTCTCTGTATGCTAGGAAAATTTTACACACAAGGAATGTTTGAAAAACAATTTTAGAGTGCCTGGGTGGTTTTTATTTGGTCAGTACTGATGTGTTGGGTGTCTAGGGAAATAATGCTTCAGGGCTTTTTTAACAACACAGCTTCACGAATGACTGGGGGATATTTATGTTTGTGCTGAGAAAAGGGAGGGAGTGGACAGGTTGGAGTGGGGACCTTCATTGAAAGTAGCGCAGTCAGCTACTTTGTAGATGTGTTTTTTCATTATACTTGTAACAATGTTCTTGTGTCCATAATTGACTGAAATGTCAAGCTCCAGGAATGCAAAGTGTTTATCAGGTGACCAGAAGTAGAACCTTGTTGATTATGAAATGGAAGAATAATGTCAAGGTAGTTGGGGTAAAATGACAAATAAGATTTTACTGGTGAATTTCCATGCTTAATATGTACATTAACCTCTTTTTAAGTTGCATGTTAATCTGGTATAACGTATTGTCTCTGGTTTATGCTTTGAGTAAAAAGGCAAAAAAAAAAAAAGACGAGTTACAATTGTTACTCTGTTATGTACTATTACATATACCTTTTCTTTTAGAAAGGGTTAATTATAATTACTATTCACACCTCTGTGTTGTCAGTGTTTTTATTCTGGTTTATTCTCTAAATGTGCAGATTCAGTGTCGGAAGACTGGGATCCACATGGTAATTGAAAAGGTATGACAGCTGCATTGTACAAATGACAAAAAGATTGTTCTGATTTTCTCTAGGAAACTTTTCTGGCACTGGTCAATTTATAGAGAGCTCTCTATCTTTTATTTCTGAATGTTAGAATTGGAAATGAGCCTGACAAATTATGATCAGTTTGCATAGTTGATTTATTTTAAAATCTGAGAAAAGTTCAGTCATTTAAAATGAATATTATTAAAGTGAACATTCATGACCTTAGTTGATAGTAAACAGAAGAAAAAAGGGAAAAAGGGAGAGAGGAGTCAGCCCCAGTCCATGCTGACTTAAATATCGTGTTTCTCCCCTCCGCTAGAATGTAAACCGGAGGATGGCAATTATCTCTGTCTGTGCTGAACACAGTGCCTGGTATGTAACAGGTGTTCAATTTATATGTGTTGACGAATGAATGAATGGATTCCTAATGTTTTTGTTGTTTTTTTCTACATCTTTTGTTCTCATAGGTAGGTTTTTTTTTTTTTTTTTTTTTAATAACCTATGTGATTGCAGCATACTGCCTCGTTTAATTCTTACTTAACACTTACCTCAATTCTCATTTAATTCTGCCTA